ACTTGTGGTCGTTGTTGGTTGCATTTTGTATTCTATGCATTTTTTTGGATAAAATGACCACNGACCTAAAAATTACTTGTTTATTATTTGCCTTGAATTTTTTATGAATTTGTTACCAATTATTTTTTATTATTAGAATTGCACGTGACCTTAGGAAAGTTTTTTTGTCTATTCTATGTGAATTGTGTCGGTACTTTGCTTGTGGTCGTTGTTGGTTTTTCTAAAGGAAAAATGTGATTTATTTTTTAATTTGGCAAAACGAAAAAGTTTTTATAAAATTTTTTATGGCAAATATAGGTCTAAAACAAGTGAAAAAAATAAGGTGTTTTAACTTCAGTTTTGTGGACCTGGTTAAAAAAGACTGACCTAAGAATGATAATAAGAGGAAAGATGAAGAGAGAGGTGTGTCAAATGTTGTCATTGGGTCAAGTGATAACCTGTGTGAGGTTTATTGAGAGTAAACCTAATTACTGTATAGTATATACGTGTAATCATTTATATATATGTGTGATAGCTTAATTCTATCGCATGGTTATATGTCATATTTCAATATGTTTGATAAGGACATTTGCATGAATTTGAAAGCAATCTGATTACTTTTGCATAATGTGTTTGCATACATAATTAGTTGAGATTATGGCGTACTCTTTTTGCTCTGTGAGTGGTGTGAGAGAGTGTGATGGTGAGAAGAGAAGGGTAGCCATTTTCTCCTTTATCTTTGAAAGTCTATGTGGTTTGTGAGATTATGTGAGGCAGCCAGTGTGGGTTATCTTCTTCCTCTTTGTGAGCCTCTTTTGTTAATATAGTGAAGTAACCAACTCTTTCTTCTATTCTCTTTGTGAGTGTCACATTTACCCTTCCTTTTGTGAACTTTTTTGAACGTTAGTGTTGGAGTTACCTTGTCGTACGTGCGTTAATTTAAATTGAGCCCTAATCTTTATGGTCGCCAAAGGTATTGATTTGCCATAGTAGCTTTGGAATGCATTAACATTGAGGATGTCTATTGGTAGTGTAGAGCATAGATGCTTAGGGGAACATTGGTGGTATGTATCAGGAATGTGGAGCATGAAGATCACGAGTGGAGAGGTGATTAAATGTTAAAATCTTTTATCTGTAAAAACCTAATCAGGTAGAGTTAATTATGTAGAGTGTGAGAGACACTTTTGTCACTTCCGTTAGGTGGAGATCCATTATCCACTTAGATTGGAAGAATTGATGTAGTGATAGAGGATTATCCCGTGGGTTTAGAATCTATTATAGTTTACCAATTAGACATGAGTGTCAGTAATCAGTTTAGTGAGCATGGTGGGTGATGAAAGGAGATATGTTTTCTTGAGGTATGAACAACACGGAATGTGATATGATAAGTGTGGTGAGATCTTTTTGTGAGGTTATTTATGAATTTGTTGTATATCTATTGGCCGTTAATTGATTAACTTGGTGTTAGTCTGTTGTTATGTGAGAATGTGTTTGAAAAGGTCTGATTGTCATTCTATGTTATCTCTCAATCGCATGTTTATTTGCTCTTGATTTAGTACTGTAATTATATACTTCTACTGGATTTTATTAACCTTATCTCTGTTGAGAGTATATAAAGCATGTATGGTGTATGTTTTGGGTCCGAAACATGAGATAAGGTCTATGATTCCGATTTTATTGGTTACTTTGATTATGTAAGTATAAACTTTGTATCATGGTTACTTGTAGGTTGATTGGGTATCAATTTGAAGATTTGTTGGGTTTTTGATATCCAATAAATTTGGGCGATGATGAAAAAACGATGTCAGGAATTTTATCGATAACAAGATGGCTCAACCTGGAAATAAAGTAACTTAATGGAGTTAATGTTTCTTGTAACTCAACAATCGTGGATTGCCCAAGTTACTGGTTGGAGGTGATATTGGTTTTGTAGCCCATTTATTGGTTTATCCATTTGGTTTATTAGTGGCCCAATTAATGATTTGGTCCAATTTGGAGGTGACCTAATATTTGTCATATATACCATCCTCACCAGCCGTTTCCTGTGTCCATGGTTTCAGAAAAAAAGGGAAAAATGTCTTGCTTTGTGGCTTCGAAAGAAGTGGCTGCCTTATTGATTCCTTCTTCGTTTTGAGCATTCGTCCATTGCTTTTTCCCTTGCCTTTTTATGGGTGAAAAAAACTTGAAGCAATCAGAGTTTGGAAGTTGTGTAGGTCGAGCCTTGGTTTGTTTGGTGTTCGGTTGGTTGCGGGGGAGGACCCATTAAGGGCCCAATGGAAACAGTTATGGATAAAAATGTTTGTTCTTATGAATTTTGTGTATTTTGTGCATTTTTTCGAGGCTACCGCACTTTTGCTTTGTATTAATGATTTTCTCGTTGCATTACTTTAAGTGAAACTCAAGTGACCCAGTCCCCAAGCATGTTTTGTCTAGTTTTGTCTGTATAAAATTTAGTAATATTTTATTTTTATGATTAATTAATTATGTTGTTTCTTTAGTGGAAACAATAATTTCATCATTAATTTCTAATTGTTACTATAGTAGCAGACAGCTAGACAATATCTTTATTTTCTTCATCTTTTTCATTGCTTTTAATGAATGCACTTGGAATGTATATTTCTGTAACAAGATGTATAGTTATTCGAAAACAAATCTCATGATTAGTTGGTTTGTACATTCACGTGGTATTTTATAAGAAGATATGTCGAGATATTTTAAACGAATATCTCAAAATTCTATTGANTTCTTTGTTTGATTTGTAGGAAGATATGTTGAGATATCTTAAACGAATATCTCAAAATTCTATTGAAAAAAAATGTTAAGGCAAAGAAACAACGCATTGATGAAATTTCTATTCAAGAAAATTTGGAGGCAAATGAAGCAAGTGTTGAGGATGCTATTATTGGAGAAAATGATGAAGCAAAGGAAGCAACTATTGATAAAACTAATTTTCAAGAAAACGATGAAGCAAAGGAAGCAAGTATTGAGCATATTGAATTGCACAATTTCCCACGGATCCCAAATTAAGAACTCCAATAATGGATTACAATGTTAATCTTCAAGATCAAATAAGAAGAGCATACTTGCTGAGAGCTCCGTGTCAGCCTCGGAGCCATGTGTTTCCACGTACAAAATCGAGGCG